TCGATTATAGGAATTGGTTCGATGTGCCGATGTGGAGCAGACTACAGACGTGTGCAAGGTTTGTTGAAATGCTTTCAAAACCAAGACTAGCAGCACAACAGCACTCGGAGCTTCGGGAGTGCAGTGTGGGTAACCCTGGCTGCCTCATTTATTAAAGCGGTGCCGACCGACGAGTGTAGTGTGCGACAGATAACCGACGCTGTAGCTGTTCATATAGAGAAGGACATGGTGCCCGTTTACACCTGGCTTCCTTCACATGATAAAAATGTGTGATCCAAAATATGACCCACCAGGTCGCAAAACCTTTGCTGAAGTTGCGCTACCAAAACTGTAGAACGAAACACTACAAGTTAGACTATTTTGTTTTAAGCAACTACTACATGCCTTTGTTCCAGCTGCTATTTACAAACCACCTTCTTCCCAGAAAATCACACGGTGGAGATCATTGCACAGGGGCTCAAAGGCTCATTGGCACGGTGGAAGTTCGATGAGAAGAAAATGGCGTGCATGATGACAGATAGTGGAACAAATATGATAAAGGTCCTGAACCTAAACCAGTGGACCCACCTCAACTGCTTTGGGTACAGACTATAATGCAATAAAAGTTATTAACTGTTCGATTAATTACATATTTCAGCAATTGAAGCTCCTTTTTCTTGTACTGAATATATGCACTGGGAAAAAAAATCGAAATCTAGATAAGTCATTTTTTCTTAAAATAAGTGCATTTGTTCTTGAATTGAGGAGGTTAGTAAGAAACTTTGCCAATGGAGCAAGAAAATGTACACTTAAAATAACAAAACACAATTGCATTGTCCTATATCAAGTGCATATTATCTAATTATCTTATTTTAAGAGTAAAAATACTCATTCCATTGGCAAATCATCTCATTTACCCGCTCAATTTAAGGGTAAACATTTTAATTTTTACTTATTTCTAGATCATTTTCCAGTGTAAATGTACATATTTTATTGAATGAAAAATCTGTATAATTTTCATTGGCTGAACATTTGTTACCTGCACAAGATTTATGTTAATATTTAAGTTTACAATACATTTATTGTTGGCTAAAGATTTGTTACTTTGCACAATAGATTTTGAATAAAGTAAAAATATTTTAAAATACATGCATGTAGATTTTAATACTTCTAAACCGATTAAAATCATAATTGTCCAAGATGACCAAAAAAAATCGAGATTTTATTTTTTAGCCATATGGAACAGCCCTGGGTGCTTCTCTTACGGGATGTGACGGTTAAATTCCTGCCAAAACAGCTGTGTAGAAATGGGCTGTATTCATGTCCAGCAGGGGGCGCATTCTGAGGGCATCTGGCATCCTGGAGTCAAAGCCAGGGGTTTCTCCTCTGCGATCCAGATGTCTAAAAATAAAATGGCACTGATGGAGAGGAGGAGGCGGGGGGGTTGATCATGCTTTGCATTGGGTGTATTATTCTGCTGGAAAATAGCCCAGTACCTGCATGGATAAAAGACGCGCTCTCTCCCAAACGGTTGTAGTTAAATTCATGCAAACGCTGGCGGTTTGTGCTCTCTGTCGGTTGGTAGATGTCAGTCCTTCAGGAGGCAGTTGTTTCTCTATTCATGCATGGTTTTTGAGGAGGGGGGTGTTAGGGGAAGTGCCGTCACATGCAGCTGCACTCGTGCCTCCACCCGTCTCACTAACCCCCCATTTTTTATTTTTTTTTATCTTGCCTCTGCTCAGACAGCAGTTGATGACGCTGCAGTTAGGCCTGGCCCCCTCTCCCTCCCCCCCCAGGCTCCCTCGCTCTCTACAAATGATGGCAGAGTGTATTTATAGTCCAGCGTGCCGAGCGGCAGCAGCCAGAGAGCCGGGGATTACCTCTGCCACGATGAACAAGCGGGGGCCTAATTCAGAGGCAGGCACCCGCTTGGTGACTCACGGCCACACACACTGGATTCAGCACAAATACGGCGGCTGCTGCTGAGCTATTTTCCCTGTTTGTTTGTCAGATTTCATCACATTACTATAAGGTATTTATCAAACCATTGCAAAAGCGCATGCCAAGGCTTGGAGAAATATCCTTTTATTTACAAAGTCGTGTTGGAATATTGCAAAGCTTTGTGATCTAAGAAAACTTAACTTTATTTCTTCACAAATTTTTCTTAAAAGCAGCTGTCGTTAGCCACCTGTTAACCCATCAGGGTGAGACAAGACTGTGAATTAAAAGCAGAGGAATGTGATCACAGTTTATCTATGAGCAGGAATGCAGTTATGGGAGCAGATGGAGCTTCATAACTCCTGGGAGAAAGAAAAGGAGAAAACTCTTTGCTTAGTTTGCTTGTTTGAGTGATCTGCAGGCTAATCTTTAGAAGACTAAAAGTCCCTGGGTTTGTCACTTGATGTCTCAGTCTGTCTCTATTGATGATGGTATCCTGCTGTTCATTCAAAACTTAGTTTTATATCTGTTGTAACCTTAGTTACTGGAGTGGACATTGGGGTACTTCAATGGTTTTATTAACCTGGTTTAAGAACTTCTATTCATTACTGGAAACTAAAATGGCAATTCATCTTCACAACATTTCTTAGAATAAAAAATATGTGACGTCTTATTGAATCAGTGTTTGGTTCTGGCATTTCTTCTCACTCGATCAAATCTGAACTTTAAATAATAATAAAAAAAAACCATCCCATTACCAGGCAGCAGATTTAGTACAAATAAAATCGGAGCATACGGCTTTAGTCTGCAGTCATTACTGCAGAGTGCGCTCAAAGATCGTCTGCTTTCCTCTGCAACCTGCTTAGAGCTTCTGCTGCTACCAGCGAGTCGCCAACACATGTGGCCTGGATGTTTGGTGTAGGCTCAGCATTTCCAGCTTCTGCCTCTTGGCACACAGGATGTGTGGATCAGAGATTCAATGTTTACAAAACAAGCTTTATTGGCTAAACTAAAAACTCTTCAGATATTTGCAGGAAATGGATAACTAAGCCAAAAGTTGAAGTGGTTAAACTAAGCTAATATGATGTTTTACCCAAATGTAGCTACTTCTTAGAGATGAACTTGGAATCTAGTCTAGAGATGAAGGAGCTGCCATCTGAGGTTGCTCTCTGTGTCTGCTGGCAGGGCAGGACAGCATGTGTTCACCTGCCTGTAATCCAATCAAGGTGAAACTCAGTGGATGAATCTATAAGGCATGCAGTAGGTGGATGGTCTGGTTTCTCATATATATATGTGTAAAAATAACATTTTTGGCATCATTTCAGAATAATTTTGCGTAATGATCAGCTATGGTGAATAAAGCTGGTGCACTGCAAACATTAAAATATGAGGGAATCTAGCTCTTGAGGATATGGCTGGAAAAATCTGATCTCTGATTATTTTATGTTTTCCCTACCAAATCCAATTAATTGCTTTTTGTTTTACCCTGACTTAAGTTTAATAATAAAATTAATGACATTAATGAATATTGCTTTCAAAAACTAGATTTGATTTCAATCATCCCCTCTGGGACGTGACCTTAATTTAAAGGGCAACAGAATTCAAGAAACACGGTTGTAAAATCATCATGTTACACAATAAACAATGAAAACTAGTTATCAGTTAGAAATGCACATCTGAGAGAAAAGAGGTGAGCTGAAAAAATTTGGTTAATGGATTTTATTGAATTGAAAGGTTCTATTCTATCTAGATTTGAGTCAGTAAGGAGACAATTTTCCAATGAAATAAGATATATTAGGGTTTAAAAAGTTCATTTGACATGAAGTGTGTTGAAAACCTGTGGCAGGGCTTTGAAAAGGCAGCTGTGACAACACATAGCCATGAATATTAATCAGCTGGAGACGTTTGGGCTCAGATTCCTGGAGAGCGCTGCCAGGAGATATAAACAGTCTTTCCATCAGGTCATAATAACAACAGCCTGCAATGCTGATTTTTAAAGATGATTTCTGTTGAGGGGTTCCTCGTCCCCTCAATAGAGGCCAGAGGAGCTGATATTTTTCTTTCTTTGAATCTAAAATGACATTTTTTCTTCTTATTTATTGAAGAAAAAACATCTGCTGCTTTAATTTTCTGATCAGACCTCATTTGCAGCTGGTGAATCATTTGCAGTTGGTGAATCATGTAGGAGTTTAAACAGGGTTAGTCTGAGGACACCTCGGCTTGTTTTTGTTTACTTTTAGCTGCTCATAAAAGTAAAAGAGGAACTGCTCTGGGGTCAGAAGCTAGAATTACTGAAAAGCGGGTTGTTAGATGGGTTCATGAGTACAGCCAGGACTCACAGCAGCAGCAGAAGCTCATTATGTTCGTCCTTAAGTTCAGAAACTTTTCATTGTATTTTCAGCCTAAAGTATCAGCCAGATTAATGAAGAGGTTTTGACTCCTTTCTTGCATGAATGTTGTGAACCCTTCCTGCCTTCTCCTCTCTTATCCAGTCGGCTGCACAACTGTTTGTTGATCTGTGGAGTTGGACGTCGTTCTCAGATATGTTTCTCTTTGCTGCGCTGCAGGGCAAGGAAACCTAACTGTTGGCAGATATTCTTTAACGCTACAGATAATTCTGCAGAGTCTTCAGGCCCAAAAACATCTCCCTTATGAGTCACATTAGTACATATAATTGTTACTTTGAAGTCACTTGAAGCCTGATTTTATTAAAAATGTTAGCAGCAGTATTCACCTACTTTATTGCGATTCTGTCTGCCTTTAATGTCGTCCTCATTCCTAGAAGAAATCCTCTTTTTTATGCTTTAAATTGTTTAGGATTCACATAAAATGTTTAGATTTTTATCACAAGTCTTTGCTTTTTAGGTACCAGCAGAAGTAGATTGTATCAATGGTTTGGTGATGGTTGTTGTGGTATCTTTAACAAATTAACTTTTATAAGATCTGTTTCCTTTACCCCAGAACTCACAGACAGGTTGACTTTGTTCAGAATTTTAATTCCCTACCTGCTGCTATAAGACCAAACAGGAAATTAAGGAAAAACATCAGAATGAAGACGTTTTTTTTTCCTTCCTCTGACACAGATACTTGGAGAAGTATGAGAAAGTCCACCACTTTGGCGAGGATGATGAAGAAGCGCAGCCGGGGAACCCCAAAGCCTCCCTTCCTGTTGGTGCAATCCCCAGTTCCTACAACTACCAGCAACATGTTGTATCAGGTATGCAGAGTGTCACTGTTCGCTTCATCCTGTTTGGTTTTGCTGCTTTTACACTAATTGTCCGAGGAGCTCCTCACTGAAAATTCACATCATTCAGCAACGAGGATGCAGCTTCCTGTTGTGATTGCCTCTCTGTATAGAAGATGAGTTCTGTTTCTGTATCTTCAACTACAACCAGGGATCCAACTTTCTCTATTTATATCATACTTTTTTTTTTTTTCATTCATTTCACAGACAAACCCTCAAAGCTGAGTTCTGATGGTTCCTTTCATCAGATGTGTTTTAAATCAGTTCCCCTGAGCATAATGTCTCTTTAAGCCTCAGCATTTTTAATTTCCAGATAATTTGCTTTGAAATTTATTTTCTGCACTTTCAAATCCCAAAGCATCTTGGTTTGATTGCTCTGAACTCATTTTATTTTAAAAGAAAATAATTCCTTTTCACTAGTGAATCACTGCTGTATTTTAAAAATCAGTCTTTCCTCTTAGCGCTCTGGAACAAATGGATGTGCATATTACTCAATAGAGCAAACAAAACAAATGTACCTGTAAAATCTGTGTATCATTCATTCTTTCTATTTTCAATTGCCAATCAAAAAACAAAAAATAAAAAATTGACTGGTTATTTTGTTTTTTGTTTTCTATGGTTAAACCAAAAACGAAAAAGGATTGGGTTTTTCATATATCAATTCTAAGCTCCGATCAAGAATACGAAATGGAAAAATGGACAGAATCCGTGTATCATTCGTTCTTTCTATTTTCAATTGCCAATCAAAAAACAAAAAATAAAAAAATTGACTGGTTATTTTGTTTTTTGTTTTTTATGGTTAAACCAAAAACGAAAAAAGGATTTGTTTTTCATATATCAATTCTAAGCTCCGATCAAGAATACGAAATGGAAAAATGGACAGAATCCGTGTATCATTCGTTCTTTCTATTTTCAATTGCCAATCAAAAAACAAAAAATAAAAAATTGACTGGTTATTTTGTTTTTTGTTTTTTATGGTTAAACCAAAAACGAAAAAAGGATTTGTTTTTCATATATCAATTCTAAGCTCAGATCAAGAATACGAAATGGAAAAACGGACAGCGACGCATAATTGGATTTTAATATTTAATCGGTACAGTTTACGTGACCCGGAAATAGCTCTTTGCGCAGCAGTTGGGGTAATGAAGTGGCTACCATGGCGACGCTAGAACCATACACTATGTTGATCGAGAAGCTGTTTGTTGTTGCTAGTTAAAAGTACAGTGCACAGAAAAGTTTCAAGACAAAAGTTATACCTGGAAAATCCTGCTGATTTTCTCCGTTGTCATATCCTCCTCCTTAAGAGTCACACGCTTGGATCCTCGAAATAACACGTAACTGTCCATGGCTGATAGGTCCGACTGCCTTATCTGGTGCAGCTTGATCGAACGTGGTGGGGGTAAGCCAATTGTTTTTTTAGCTAACGCTCCACCAAACTTCCGGGTCACGTAAACTGTACCGATTAAATATTAAAATCAAATTATGCGTTGCTGTCCGTTTTTCCATTTCGTATTCTTGATCTGAGCTTAAAATTGATATATGAAAAACAAATCCTTTTTTCGTTTTTGGTTTAACCATAAAGAACAAAAAACAAAATAACCAGTCAATTTTTTATTTTTTGTTTTTTGATTGACAATTGAAAATAGAAAGAACGAATGATACACGGATTGGACAGCAACGCAGAATTTGATTTTAATATTTAATCGGTACAGTTTACATGACCAAAAAAAAACTATTTGAGACAAAATTCTTAAGAGCTAAAAAAGTAACCTCATAATTACGTTTTTGTGTTAGACGACAGAGTCCAAAGTCTCCAAACTGTCACAGTGAATTAAGATGAAAGAAATGGTTTCATGTATTTAAAGGTAATAAACAAATATTTTTTTTTCAAAATACATCCATAAAACATCTACAGTGGTGCAGAATAAAGATATTACTAAAACAAATGGAGTATTTAACTAATTCCAACAAATTTTAAAAAGTTAAAACAAGCCACTGGACTTTGTTTTCCAAGTCTGAAGACTTTTTGCTTCCAGTCCAGGAAGCTTTCTCAATTCAAAATGTCTGGAGTAGCGTTGAGTTTCAGGTTTATAGAGGGGTACACACCAAAGCCTTATTATGGCTTAGAAAACATGCAAATTGAACCTAGAAAACAGGTCCTCCCTTTAGTAACGGGGAGTCGTTGAGGTCTTGGACTGAAAAACCTGATACTGGCCTTTGCCTCTGAAAAGGGAGTCATAGGGTCATTGTCATGCCTCGCTTAATGGGTGACATGTTTTGGTCCATGCATGGCGATGAGGTTTGAGATGATAGCGGGAAGGAATAGACTCTATTGCTGCATTGCAGGTTTTTGAGATTTGGAACTTGAAACCACCCACTCTGTTTAAGGTTGCTTTATCTCTCTTAAAATAATTCACACCCCTTTTAAACCATCTGTCTTCTTTGTCCAAAATGTGAACATTCTGGTCCTCAAACGACTGTCTTTTGTCCTTAAGGTGTAGCTTGACAGCAGAATCTTTTACGGAGGAGGTAGCTAGTCTGTGTTGAGCCATGTGTCTGTGGAGAGGTTGTTTGGTTTCTCCAACATAAAGATTCAGTCCAGTGGTTTGTTTTTTAACTTTGTTGGAATGACTATGACCTGGATGACTGGGAATCTTCACCAGTATATTTAAATAATTGTTTTATAAAAAATCTGATGGGTCAAAGACAGGCTTTTATCTAGGGATACTTCCTATGGTGTACACGTTGGTGTATCACATCTTTAGGCTTTGCATGGTGTAGGGGGTAAGGAGGTATCCTCCCCTAGAAAATCTTGAAATTTAGACTCTAAGGATTCTGAGGTGGAATGCAGCTACATTTTTGTCTTTATTACAACACTAATTTTCTCCTGATTATGGGAAGTAGGTGTGCTTGACTAGAGGTGGAAATTTCATTTTTAGGTACCTATGTTTCACAGGTTAATTAAAAAAATCAGAAAGTGTAATGCTATCTTCACACAGTGATTTAACCAGCAAAATTGCATCTGCTGCTTAATTTTTGATGCTTGTTCACATTAAGGTCAGATGTGTACAGATGCATCTGATGCTTGTGCTGCTCCTGTGTTCAATGGCAGTGAGTAGCTTTGCTATATTTGCTGTGATAAGTGAGTAAAAAGTAGTTTTAACATGTTTTTTTTTTTTTGCAAGAAAGTACACTTGAAAACATCATCTGGGCAGTCAGTTCATGAACGATCCTGTCTTAAAATATTATTTTGAAGCTGCCCAGACCCCCACAAAGCGACAGTGGGTTGTCACTGGGAATCCCCAGCAGCAGCTGCCTTAGGCTTGTTTTTTCCCTGCTGTTTGTGGCGGTTAGAAGCAGATGTTAATGTTTTCATGTACGTGGCTCCAACTGCAAGCACAAGAATGATAAAAGCGAGCATATATGCCGACAGTTTCGAAATTTAAGTTAATTTAGGCGTTAATAACCTGTTTCAGAGGATTGATAATAGCGATCTGCATCAGCAGCGTTGTCTGTCTTCCTGCCAGGTCACAGATTAGCTTCTCTGATCGGTTGATATGGCACATCAAGCAGCAAAAAAAGGAAAAATTTTCAACTCCAGCATCTGCTGCTTGTGAAATTTTTTACATTTGAGCAAAGTTTCCAGGGGGAAAAACAGGCGTACAATGTATAGCCGTATGCAATGCTAGCTAAAAGCCTGGTCAAAGGTATATGAATATGTACTTTTGGATACAACAGTGATGTGGGCCTGAAAGGATTTGCTACTGATTGAAATAGTAGCTTGAAGTCATTTGAAACAGACCCTAGTACCTTTGTAGTAGACCTGAGGAATGACTTCTACTCAGCGTTGCATGTTTTTGAGCGAAGCAAAATAAAAAACAAAACAAAGAAGACAAAAACAGTAAATGGGTTCTGATGGCTAATTTTCCTCTGAACAAGTAAGTTAAATGTTTGCTGATGCTAACAAAAGGTTAAACTGGCAAACTGTCCAGAATGAGAACTGGTGAACACGAGTGCGCAAAGTTTGGCTGGAAAGATTTTATATTTTCACCTTTAAAAAGCTTAAAATATTTTTTGGCTGATAATTTTTCACTTTTGGCATTGAAGATATTTAGCATGGCTAAATTGACCTGGTTTGGCTATAAACTGTTGCTCTCAGAAAGCCTGAATATGTCACCAAATCCAGATGAAAGCTTAGATCTTGTTGGTTTAGTCAGACATGATCTAGGAAATCTGTCATAAACGCTGCATCTGTTAGCTGGAAGTTAGATAGTTAAACATGAAAAGCAGTGTTATTTTTCTCTATGCATCTAAATACAGGGAATGAAAAACAAACTCTTGGTAAATTGGATTTTATAATGCCAATGTAGTTTGAGAAAATGTTCTAAATTAAATACACTTGTTTTCTATGTTTTTGTCCAGCAGTGCAGTTGTGACTCTGCCCTTCGTTTTTCTCTCCTGGTTTCTGCTAGTTTAAACTTAGACACAAAATCTTCTGGGTTGAAACTGGAGTTTTCTCAAATCGTGTCCTGAGACCAAAGCCACTACAGACTGTCGGGCCCTAATGCTAACTAATGGGTCCGGAGCTTTGAGTCTTTTCAGTCCGCACTGCTGTGTTTTCACCAAGGTTATCAGGATACTTTCCCTCTTTATTTTCCCCTCGCCACATGAATGCATCAGTCCAGCCTTTTCTGCAGCAGGAGTGTGAGAAGAAAAAAACGCTCTGAGTAAAGTCCCGTTTTAAGCTGAATGTTTTTGTCGACTAGACGGGTCTCTCTGCCTTATCTGTGCATGTCCCTTTGCCACACACAGTTGTAGTGTGGACCGGCGGGCCCTGCTCTCTCAGATAATTGACTTTCCTGACAGCGGTTATTGATGAAGGGAAGAAGGACGCACTTGTTGGTTTTCCTTTCACCTCAGTTTAGATTAGTCTCCAGCCTTTTAGTCCCAGAATCTCTCTCTGGAGCAGACAGCCTTCTGTCTGCTAAGCTAATTGACTCCAAAACATGATCACTGTGGGAAAATGCAGTTTGGTGGCCTTTTCTCCCTCGCTACTCTCAAAAGTTGGATTTTAATGAGCAAGCCTGAATCACAAACCTGTTATAGTTTTACTGTACCTAATGGTGATGGTTATCTTGGCTTCAACAAAGCATTTTGCATTTAAAAAACACGATGGGGTTGCCAATAGGGGAATAGACTGATGGATTAACAGATGGCGTAGTTTTACTAATTTGTCCAACAGCTTTAGTCTTAATTTCTTTTTTCACTGCATCTAGTTTTATTTTCTGCATTAAATATTTCAACTAGGCACACAGAATGAATAATTAACTTATTAAATAAGGAACTAGGAGGTGCTTAGACTGTATTTAATGTTTGTGTACGGCTTTGCCTTTTTAGCCAAGGTGATGTGGATTTCAAGGGTTTTTAAGTTAAGTCAAAGAAATGACCAGAATAACCAGAACTGTATCTGCCTATACAGACCTTTAGAGTATTACATCACTGCCTTCCAGCTGGTTGAAAGTTCATCACATATTTCTTTTTGTTGAGGACAAATTTAATGTATTTCAGATTTTATAAAACAGGGACAGTTTGGTGTTTAGTTGAAAGGAACATTGCATGTAATTCCTATTGGGTTTGTACCATTTTTAACCTGCAGCTGATGAGCTGCTAAAGGCTCATCTAGACTGCTACTTGGATTCGGCCGCCACGAGACCCCAGTCTGATGACCTCAACTCAACTCTTTAGACATCACACAGCAGCACACTGTTAATGGAGTTCATAGCAGATGCAGGCGATTGTTGAGAGGGATTGCTGTTGAGTCAGTGACTGGATGCAATTAGCTGTTTTTTCTTAGATGGAAGACTGAACCAATCTGACTGAAGACGTGAATCGTCTCTGTAAAGTTCTCCAAACTGACGTGTGTTGTGAATTTACTTTATAAATACACTGATCGAAATTGCTTTGAATGGTGTTCTTGAACAATAGGAACTGGTAATATTATACTCACTTTATAACAAGAAGAAGAAGGGTCTAAAAAAGTGAGCAGAATGATTTACAATGTGTCTTTAAGGAGCAGATTATTGGCACGCTGATGAAAATACTCCACCTATCCCTAAAATTGATGGTACACATCGGTTAATAATGCAGTTTATATGTACATGTCACCTTAGGATACTTTAGAGTCAACTCGATAGTCACACAGTCAGATTGGTGAAAAGTTTTCTACCTGAAATGGCAGCAAATGTCTTATTGTCTCCACATCCTGAAGGAGCAAATCCTGCAAAATCAGTAACTGGATGGAATCAACTGGTTTTCCTTATGCGTTAGATAAAACATCAAGTGCTGTATATGTTCATCAGAGGATATTGATCATTTATGTATTTTGGTATTTTGCTTCTCATGGATGAGCAGTAGATAATAAATGGGTCGGTTGTTCTTATGCTAATGTTCTCTAAATTATGTGACCTCATGAAACTTTTTCTACTATACAATTGGTAATAGAAGTAGTTGCATTGTTATCGACCAATGCTTAAAACTTCAGTGTCAGTATTGTTTGATACAATTGGATTTAGAACCAAATACAGAAACAGACCGTTTTAAGATTTTTAGAGATGAAAATATCTAAAAACGAACTGCTTAAAGTTGATACGAGTTACAGAGACAAAGAAATATTTGTGTCGCATTTGCCTGCTGTGTGAATGTAGGTTAGTAAGCAAGATAACGGCCTAATAAAAGACTAGTTTAACGAACAGGACAGCAAAAAGAAGACCCTTTTACATTTAACTCTGTTTTATTGCAGCCATTTGCTAAAATCAATAAAGTTCATTTTATTTCTCATTAATGTACACTCAGCACCCCATCTTAAAAGAAAAAACAAAAATGTAGAAATGTTTGCAAATTTATTAAAAAGGAAAAACTGAAATATCACATCGTCATAAGTGTTCACACTCTTTGCTCAGTATTGAGTAGAAGCACAGCTTTTTTTTTCTTTTTTATTAGAAGCTCCCTTTTGAGCCATTACAGCCATGAGTCTTCTTGGGAATGATGAAACCAGTTTTTCACAGCTGCCATTCTTCCTTGCAGATCCATTTCTCCAGAGATGCTCAATTGTGTTTAGGTCAGGGCTCTGGCTGGGCCAGGCAAGATTGGTCACGGAGTTGTTCCCAAGCCATTCCTTTGTTATTTCACCTGTGTGCTTAGGGTCATTGTCTTGTTAGAAGGTGAACCTTCATCCCAGTCTGAGGTCCTGAGCACTCAGGAAGAGGTTTTCTTCCAGGATATCTCTGTACTTGGCCGCATTCACCTTTCCTTCAATTGCATCCACTCGTCCTGTCCCTGCAGCTGAAAAACTCCCCCATAGCATGATGCTGCCACCACCATGTTTCTCTGATAGGATTCTATTGGGCAGGTGATGAGCAGTGCCTGGTTTTCTCCAGACTTACCACTTAGAATTAATGTCAACATGTTCAATGAGGTTCAATGAGAGAAGAAACTTCTTTGTCACAGTCTGGGAGTCCTTCATGTGTTTTTTTTTTTTTTTTGGCAAACTCTATGCATGCTTTCTTGCACTGAGAAAAGGCTTCCGCTGGACCACTCTGCCATAAAGCCCCGACTGGTGGAAGGCTGAAGTGATAGTTGACTTTGTAGAACTTTCTCCCATCTCCTTATTGCTGGAGCTCAGTCACAGTGATCTTTGGGTTCTACTTTATCTCTCTCACCAAGACTCTTCTCCCAAAATTGCTCAGTTTGGCTGGACGGCCAGGTCTAGGAAGAGTTCTGATCGTCCCAAACGTCTTCCATTTAAGGATTATGGAGGCCACTGTGCTCCTAGGAACCTTGGGTGCTGCAGAAATTCTTTTGTAACCTTGGCCAGATCTCCTTGAGCAGTTCCTTGACCTCATGATTCTCGTTTGCTCTGACATGCACTGTGAGCTGTAAGGTCTTATATAGACCGGTGTGTCTTTTCTAATCAAGTCCAATCAGTTTAATTAAATACAGCTGGACTCCAATGAGGGAATAGAACCGTCTCAAGGAGGAGATGAAGAAATGGACAGCATGTGAGTTAAATATGACTGTCACAGCAAAGGGTCTGAAAACTTGTAACCATTTAATATTTCAGTTTTTCTTTTTAGTACATTTTTCTGTCAAGATGGGGTGCTGAGTGTACGTTAATGAGAAATAAAATTATCTCTTTTGATTTTAGCAAATGGCTGCAATGAAACAGAGTGAAAACTTTAAAGGGATCCAAATACTACCTGTACACACTGTATAAAGATGTCCTGAACATCTCTCTCACTAACCAATACTTACCAGTTTATGCTGAAATGGCAAAGTCCAACTTTAAAAAAAAAAAATCTTTAAATTCTAAATCTTTTTATTATTCTATATTCAAAGCTATCATAGCTCATGAACCCCATACCTCACTCTGATGATCAAATCAGAACCTCACCTGTAACTCCTGATCATCTGAGCAGCATTATTCTTACCTCTGGCTTTTCTTTGCTCTATTTATGAACGTTCATTGAAACATCCAGCAAGGAGTTAGTTGAGAAAAGCATGGATAGCCATAAAGTACAGTTAGTTAGTTGAATCGGTCTCCGCCAAGTGACGTCAATTGTTTACCTCGGGCGCGGTACACTATGCCTTTTACGCCTAAAATGGCGTCTTAGCAACAAATGTCACGTGACTGGCGGAGACCGATTTTCCTAAATCCGCCCCTGTTTTCAGGCTTATGTTAACTGTAATGACTTATCTTGGACAGGCTGCTATGTAAACAGGCCTTTAGTCCTTCGTTTAGCTATGCTGCGGTTGTTTACACTACACCTTTTACACCTAAAATGGCGTCTTAGCAACAAAAGTCACGTGACTGGCGGAGACCGATGTGTTGGATTTTTTTTTTTATATATAATCTTGATAAATGACCATAATGAATTATTGCTAATAGTAGGATTTATCAGGCTCAGTCATGGTTAATTTAAGCTACTGTCCGTGATGCTGTGTGTATTTGAATGACTCGCCCAGTTAGGAACCAGTTCTTTATGTTTATCAAAGCATGGGCTTTGGGCCAGGAGTACTGGTGCTTGAAAAAAAAAAACAAAGGCTCAGGAAAAGAAACTTTAAGTGGTATGAAGCGAAAGGCTTGATGAAGACTGATTTCTTTTGCACTGCACTGGGGAGGTTCTGTTTTCAGATAAAGCAGGAAGAGACTCATGAAGTGATGAAATAAAGCAGTATCTCTCAGGCCAGTTTTTATCTGCTGCTGAAGTTGCATCACTGGTGATATTTTTATTTTTTTTAGCAGGATTCTTAAAAGCATAGAAATGCAGCACTGAAAACCCTGCACCAGAATAGAGGAGCATTTATCTGGAGAAATGATTCGGGGGATAGGAAAATTGAGCATGATTAGGAATTGTCTTACAGATTGTGTTCTTATTTAACATTCGGTCTTTGTTGACACCATTCTAAGCGTTGCCAGTTTCTCCTCACAGCTAACCTTCCTGTTAGCAGTCAGAGCGCTGGCTGTGGTTTAACATCTTTAGAAACGCTTGGATTTGATCTGCACTGCTCTATCTCTCACTCTCCACTGCTGATCCATGTTCCCTGATCCATCTCCTCCTTTCTCTTTCAGACTATCTCCGCCAAAGTTATGGACTCGCTACAGATTTCATTCAGCCGTGCGACTACAACAAACTGGTGCTCTCGCTCCTCTCCGGCTTACCCAACGAGGTGGACTTTGCTGTTAACGTTTGCACATTGCTCTCTAACGAAAGCAAGCACTCCATGCAGCTGGACAAGGACCCCAAACTGGTCACGCTACTGCTCGCTCACGCTGGAGTCTTCGACGACTGTAAGCCCCGCCCACTCACTTGGAGTTTAAATAGTTTTTGCTTTAGAACTCTATCTCTTTTACAACAGTTTGCCACCTACTGCTGCCTTTTTTTGTTTGTTTTACCATCAAAGTCCATCTCTTTTTATACCTCCTGTCTAACTCTGAGCTAAGCTCCGCCCCCACTAACCCCATGTTCTATTGCAGCTCTGGCCAGCTTCTCTGGAGTGTTTGGGACAGACTGGAAGGAGAAAACCTCAAGAGACTTTGCCAGGGTAAAGTATATCTGCCTTTCATCTTTGGTTGGTCTTTGAATTGTAAAGGCGAACACTGGATAAAAAAAACCGCCACATTACTGGGATTTCATTAGCTTGAAACTAAGATACCTCACTAGCTGCGTTTGCATGGACACAACTGATGGGATTAAAGACCCGATCAGCTCAAAAATGTTCCAGGTTAGCATGTTAGACTAAAGATTCCTCCCTAAATTGGAATGATTGGAAATAAATTGCATTTTGAAAAGGAGAGGTGCCCATGGTCACCATTCCGATTACACACCCATTCGGAGCGTTGGAGGAAAATAATCTCCACTGCACATGTGTGCAACATCTGTTTGACTGTTTGGGGGAAAATAAGACTGTTTCTCGCATACTTAAATTACTTGATCTGATAGAACACTTGGTGCATGCAAACACATGATCGGATCATTTTATATAGTGTCGATGCAAACAGAGATTTTTCAGATCAACCAGGGTTTAGATTGGATCGGGAACATTTTGCGCAAGTAAACTTAGCTTGTTTCCACATATTTCTCTTGGTCTGACAGTGAGTCATATTGACTCCTTTTGCTGTTTAGCCTAATTATAACCTTTAGTTTGAGCTCCCACTTTGGTAGCAGATCACAACCTGGACCAGACTGTTAGCGAGGATCGCTGCAGATTTTGTCACGCTGGTGTTTTTACAGCCACATTAACAGCATCTGTTCCTCTACAGTTCTGGAAGGAGGTGGTGGAGGACGCTGAGGTCAGGGAGCTGATCTGGGACAAGAGCAATTCAGCAAAAGGTAAACGGCCCGCAGCAAAAGTCTTGTCGCCACTTCACACTCTCCAGCTCAAACTCATGCCGATTTATAGCAGATCTTTATTTATTATAGAAATTTAAGTTAAACTCCAGCTCCTGCTGTTTAAAATGAAAAGGAGTTGCCTATTTTGGAGTTAACATTGTATTTACTTTGATGTTAAAAGAGGAGTAGATGGAAATAAGGGTGCATATGATTTCTGCTGTTAAAAATTACAAGAAAACAACACTTTTAACTAGGAGAAAAACAGCAGGGAAAATCTCCATGCCATTTCAAAACAGCTGCTTTAATAAGTGGCTTATTTGAACCTCTGGCACTAAAATATCTGACACACTATCAATAAATCACATCAGGGTGTGTGAAGGCATAAAATGCTCAGCCGTGCATCATAAGATTGATTATTTAACATAAAAACTAAGCAGAAATGTATGATAACCACTCATCAATGGATTTCAGTTGGGTTTAGTGTCACTTCTAGATCATAGATCTAGATTTCTGGTTCTTATCTGAATGCTCCCCCCGTCCGCTTCACAGATGGTACGTCCCGGGAGGAACACTGGCAGAGCCTCTTCCATCCGCCGCGGAACCCAGGAACCGGTGACATGGAGGCCCAGCGGGTGCTGCAGATCGCCGTCATCCTGCGAAATCTCTCCTTCGAGGAGGCCAACGTCAAGCTGCTGGCGGCCAACCGAACGTGCCTGCGCTTCCTGTTGCTCTGCGCCCACTGTAACCTCATCTCACTCAGACAGCTCGGACTCGACACTCTGGGCAACGTAGCCGCTGAGGTAGGTCTACAGAAAAGTTTGCCTGGGTTCCTTTATGATCATGACTGTGGGATAGAAGAGGTTTTTTGTTTTGTTTCCAGTCGCTTTCCCAGGCAGCCAGTTAGCATGTAGCTCTAAGGATTCAATGACCAAAAGATGGCCTTCTGCTGTATCTTTGACAGTTTTCTTATAGGATCAGCCCACTGTTGGGCCCAAGAGAATTCGGTCACTTTTGTATTTTAGTGTTAATCGGTTCATGAAATGGGACTTTTGTTGTTAGCAAATATTTCTTTAATTTCGATTTCGGGTGAATTTATTATAGTTAATTTTCAACTCTGACTGAGAATGTTGTGACTCAGAACATGAACCAGCTTTTTATCCTCCTCTGAATTCAGGAAAGTGTTGATCTGTGCTTTTAGCTGCTATCTTCATGCTTTTTCTGCTTCAGTCTGCTTCCTCTGGGGTCGGTTTAGATATTAAATTGTCTGTTAAATTGCCGTGTGAGACACTGCTGTCCCTTTCTGGGCCTGTCTGAAATTTCCGCCCATGATGGGTGTCTAAAATGTGTTTTTCTTCTTGTAGCTCCAGCTGGATCCTGTTGATTTTCGGACGACGCACCTGATCTTTCAAACTATAACCAAATGCTTGATGTCCAGAGACCGGTTCCTCAAAATGAGAGGTGAGTTTAGTCCCTTCGGTTGTGTTTGCTTGGAAAATATTGATTTTAATCTTTCAAATATTTGGGTTTTAGCTATGGAGATCCTGGGGAATCTCAGCAAAGCGGATGATAACGGTGTGTTGATCTGTGAGTATGTGGACCAGGAGTCCTACAGGGAGGTCATAATGCTCCTCACTCTGCCGGACCTCATGCTCCTCATGGCCTCCTTGGAGGTGCTGTACCTGCTGGCCCAACTGGGAGAAATTCCCTGCAGCAAGATCGCTTCGGTGGACCACAGCATAGGTAACCATTTACTGCCATCACCTAACGCTGACAAAATCTAGAAATAAGAATTGCCGCACTTCTCTGGTTGGATATGGAGAAAGATGGTTTTGGATTGGCCTAGTCAAAGTCTGGGCTGAAATCCCTGTGAGATTGTGACAGAGTGGCTGTTCTCCCTTAATAAACAAAGTATTCAAAAGCTAAAGTTTGTCTTAGATTAAAAAATGTCTGTAATCTAAAACACAAGTTTGAAGAAGTTTGTTCTTTTATCATCACTGACTCTACTCTGCTTCCACTTCCCTGTTCAGACTTGTTGGTGCGGTTAGTATCGGTGGATCTGCACACGTTCGGACCGGACGCCCTGACAGCGGTGCGGTTGATCGAGCATCAAGCTAACGCCGATCAGGCCGCCGAGGTCCGACCGCAGTTGGTGGAGCAGGTACCTGCGGCAGTACAGGCGGCTTCAGCACCAGGTACGTTTCTAGGAGATGCCTCTCACGCTTTGAAACCCTTAGAAGTATTGAATTTACTTAACTCCCGGCTTCGTGCTGTCCTGCCAACCAGACAAAAAAACCATACTATTAAATTAGAGCTACAATACAAGACTGTCAGAATGGCCTAGTTAAAGTCCAGAGCTAAATTATAATTGAGTTCTGAATTCTGATTTTTGGGTATTGAGGTTCTTGGTGGCAAAACATTCCAAAGAATCCTGTGAAGTTGGTAGGTTTGACTAGAAGAAGCTCTGAGCGAACAACAATTTTTCCAGACTCTTCGCCTTACTGGAGCTTTTGTTAAAAGGTTGCTTGTTTTTAAATCAGAGTTTCCGATCAGCTGAAAACAGGCAGCCTTGAACCAAAGCAAACAAACATGACATCTTCATTTAGATAAAGTTTCTGTGAACTAAAGAGACTCCTGACTGCTGATTGGTTCCTTATTCACGGTTGTTGGTTTGCTGACATCTAGTGAGCTCTAAGTAGTACTACAGCTATGCAGTAAACAGGAATAAAGGAAATGTTTTGTTGTGAATTGTCGTTTTTTTTTTTTCCTCTTATGTTTGTTTCCTTTTCTCTCCTCAGTAACGAGGGCCCCGGTTCAGCCCAATGTGCCGCCACCTGGCATTGTCGAACTAGATGGGGAGAAGTTTACGCTACAGTGGTAAGATTTGGGTTTTCTCTAAATCTCTTTGTATGTGAAAGGAAAACGCTTTCTGTTTCTTTCCTGTTCAATTAAAACCTGTTTCTAACAGGCTAAACGCACACTTTGAGACGAGCCCTGAGGGAACAATTTCCCGATCAGAAATGTACTCTGAGTACCTGGCCACCTGCAGCAAAATGGGAAGAAGTAACATCTTGAACTCCACCGGCTTCCTCAAATGCCTCCGGTAGGTACAGAGCGAACTGCATCCCAGGCAGTTTGCAGCTACAGAAGCAGATCAGCAAATGTAGAGATTCTCTCTGATGATGGCCGACTGCTCTTCACAGGACGGTGTTTCCCAACCACACCATGAGGCGGCAGGACGAGGCCAAATCCAGCAACCAGCTTCAGATTCTCCTTGTAGGAATAAGGCGACGAGCGATCCCTCTCCCCGTCCAGCTGTACTACCAGCAGCCCCAGAACCCGACCGCAGCGCCTCCACCTCCAGCAGCGCGGCATGAAGCACCTGGAGACCCTCAAGCTCCCCCACCAGGTAGAGCTGCTTTTCCACTTGGATATGCTCGCCTCTTACTTGTTGAAATACCGACAGTGTTTCTGTGTTGTGTTACTAGGGTTACCGCCAGGACATCCTAATCTTGGACCACAGTTTGCTCGGCCCCCAGGTGCCTCAAAGAGCTCTCCGCTTTTGGCGGCAGGTGCCCAGGAAACGTCTCGTGTAAACCCCCCAACTGTTCCCCATCATCCGGTGCTGCGGCAGCCGTCCCCCCAGTTACCACCAAACCCTCTGGCGGCGCCGCAGCTTCAGGTCCGGACCGCTCCGCCAGTGCAGACGTCTGCGGCCGCCCAGAATCACAGCCCGCAGAACCCCACGCCTCCTCCCGTGCCTCCGCAGCAGCACTCCCCCATGCTCCCCACAGGGACTCCTGTTACCCTCTTTCAGCCAGTACCACCAAGCCACATCCTCACCGCCAGGGTACAAGGTGTGTGCTCCCCAATCGCCCAGCAACCACCTCTGCCTCAAACCTTCCCCGTCTCTGGAGTGCCCCAGGTCGACGCCCAGGGTTCCGCTGCAGCTTCAGTACCCTCCTCCACCCAGGGGGGAGGGAATCCGGCTCAGGGCGTCGGCAGCTCCCAAGGTTCTCGTGTAACATTTCAGAACATAGCTCCCAAACCAGCACCAAACCAGTCAGGTGGGCCGACGGCCACGACGGCTCCTCCCAACCAGCAGCCGCCTCAGAGCGTGGTAATAGTCGGCCCAAACCCTCAGCAGAATGCAGCCTATACCCCGGCCATCCACCAGATCGTTCTCACCAACCCCTCCACCATTCCCGGTGCCCAGCCTGTCCAGATAGGACAGCCCGGAGCAGCTTCCAGCCCCTGCTCGCCTGCTGCCTCTCAATCAAACGCCCAGGTCCACACACTGACCCCCCAACGGCCTCATCAGCAGCAGCCGCCGCCGCTTCAAATCATTTCCCAAACTCCTCCCACTCAGCCTACCTCCACTGAATCCAGCTTGATCAAACAGCTACTGCTTCCAAAGCGAGGGCCTTCGACGCCAGGAGGGAAGTTAATCCTGCCCGCCCCACAGGTCCCCCCTCCTAACAACACGATAGCCCCCAATCCGCAGGTCATCTACCAGAGCCCCTCCCCTCAGCCGGTCAGTGTGCAGCTGGTCCCAGGCCAGCTTCCCGCTGCAGGAGCTCCTCCCCTCCAGACGGTTCAGCTCCTGCCAGGCCCGCTGATTTCCACCAGTTCACCTGGTGGAGCCGCCATCATTCAGGGTCCCACAGGCGCCGGAGTGACGTTCACTGTGGTCCCAAACACCGGCTTCACCACCTCCACCTCTGCTGTGGCTGCTGTGAGCCAGGGCGTCCCCCAGCCTCCATTTCCTACTGGAACAGTCCCCCATCACATCTCAGCACCACTTCCACCACCACTGCCGGCACCCCTCAGAGGAGACAAGATCATTTGTCAGAAGGAGGAAGAGGCCAAGGATGCCACAGGGCTGCACATTCACGAGAGGAAGATTGAGGTGATGGAGAACTCCTCCATGGCAGAAGGAGACTCTTCAAATGGCAAAACCAGCAACGGGGACGTTGCTGCAGGTGCCAAGCTACTAAACGGTGGGAAGTGCGTGGAGCCTAATCTACCTCCATATAACTCAGGGAACAGCCAGGGAGTCCTCAACGGCCCACTGACGGAGAATGCTTCCTCCAATGGGAAGCAGGCTCTCTCTCCAGGCCCGAACGCTCCGCTGGAGGGAAACCCGGACCCCAAAAAGACCCTGGTCAACGGGGTGTGTGACTTTGAGCGAGGCGAAAGCGGCGGAAACTTTAACAAAAACATTCCAAATCACATTGCTTCCAAACAGTACTTGGGGAACGGGGAGGTGGGCGCCTCTGAAAAGACTGCAGATCAGAGTCTCCCCAGTCCCCCCCCTTCCCAGCAGGACACTGCCAAAGCCCAGCAGGCGGAGCGCCTGGCCAACGGCCCCCATGCAGCGGTTCGCCGGCCCTCTGCGGAGTTAACCAATGGGCCTCTAGGCCCAGGGCACGGCGTGCCAGCTCTACGGCAGCAGCTGCTCCCCAACTCCTCGCTGCCCGCCGTCCCGGCCAACGGAGTGGCCTCAGAGCCCCGGGGCCTGAAGAGGCCCGCCGAGAACGAGGACCGCAGCACAGGAACGGCTCCCTCCGGGATCCCCAGCAAAGTGGGAGTGCGGATCATCACCATCAGCGACCCCAATAACGCCGGCAGCAGCTCCACCATGGTAGCGGTGCCGGCAGGAACGGACCCAAGCACAGTAGCCAAAGTAGCAATAGAGAACGCCACTCAGCAGAGGAACTGCTCGCCTACACAAGCGGCTGGATCCACGGTGAGTCACTGTGGTCTGGGACCAACCCCCGTCTCCTTGTTTGCTACCACAGTTTTATGACTTCTGCTTAAAAAGTCAATTCTGGAATCTTTAAGATTAAAGTTAAGATTTAATTAACAGTTGAAAGAAAAGATTAGTCCTGATTATTCGAGGTAAATGCATGTGTTGAACCCTGAGGGTCCATCTCTGCTGTAGTTTGGTTTTCAGGGCTGAAATCAGGAACCATCTCTGTGTAAACATTTCTACAACTACAAAAAATTTATATTTTAATGTGGCTAGTCTGATCTAAAGTTGTGGAGGTTAAGAAGGTGAGTCCAGTTAAGACCATGTGGCTCTCACTGATACCCACCTCCTACAGCAAAGCAGCTGAGAGAACAACTTGGACCAAGAGACGGGTCCGGGTTACATCTCAGCCAACAAACCCACTCTGGTCTGATTCTGAATCAGAAGAACTAAAACTGTGTTTCCCCTCTAGCCGGCTGTAACCCCGCCCCCAGCTCCCTCATCGCAGCCCGCAACAGCAGGTAACCACAGCCCGCACCTCCTGGCGCAGCAGACCTCCACCGCACCGTCGGAACCGGGCAGGAAAGCAGGGCAGAACTTCAAATGCCTGTGGCAGTCCTGCAAACGGTACAAAGCTCTGTTCTGTTTCCGTAGCGCTCCCATCTGATGGGATCCACCTTTATCAAGCCTTAAACATCTTTGGTTTCCAGGTGGTTCGAGACGCCGTCTCAGGTGTTTTACCACGCAGCGACGCAACATGGAGGCAAAGAGGTGTATGGAGGCCAGTGTCTGTGGGAGGGGTGCGAGCCTTTTCCCCGTCAGAGACTGTCCTTCATCACACATCTGCAGGTAAAATCCTCTCATCATTCACAGAGATTCATTAGGTTCAGATCTAGAGCGCTTTGATTTAACAGGGTCTGCTCTGCTTTCCCAGGATAAACACTGTTCGCGAGAGGCTCTGCTGGCTGGACTCAAACTGGAGGAGCAGCAGGCGCAAAGTCCCAATCAGACATCTTCCCAGTGCGTCGACCTTCCACTCTAACACGACTCGTATCACAGTTTATCAAAAATCAGCTTTAATAACCAGAGTTTGCTTTTTGTTCTGCGAAGGACGCCGCCAGCAGCAGGCAGCACTCCGGCTCAGCGGGCGCCGAAAGCAATCGTCAATCATCCCAGCGCAGCTCTCATGGCCCTACGCAGAGGTTCTCGAAACTTGGTCTTCAGGGACTTCACAGTGAGTAGAGCACGCCACATGTCTCCGCTTTCTGTTCCTAAATCTGTTCAGCTCATCTGTTCTCCTGCCAGTTAATATGGAGCACGTCAGATTTTTAGTTGCTGCGATAATCTGCTGAGTCATGCGTCACATTTCTTTTGTTTCCTGTAGGATGAGAAGGAGGGACCAGTGACCAAACACATACGACTAACTGCTGCCTTAACATTAAAGAACATCGCCAAGCACTCCGACTGTGGTCGCATGTAAGTTCGCCATTCAATGATCTGAATTGGATTATTTAGTATTCTCAGAAATAATCAGATGGTCAAAGAAATGTAGCCAAGCACCAGTTTTCGTCTTTTATTTTAGTTTTTTTTTTATATATCATTTGTTGGTGTAAATGTGATGCACACAGAGGCCCTCAATGGGAACATGTAGTTAGTTTTGCACTACGCTTAGTGAGCAAGGAACTGTATCTAGGGGTTCCAAAGTCTCTATAGCAATGTGTAGACGCCCCACATGGTAGACGGGCAGTTTGCTGATCACTGCTGGGAATTTACTGGAACATTTATTCTGTCCAAGGAGACAGATTGATCACTTTTATTTATTTTGAAAGTGTGAGGCTGAAAAGCGCTCCACAATCTGTGACACTATGGGCTCTTTATTTTTATTTTTTATTAAATCAAACTGAAGAAGACCACATGTCGATTTTAAACTTAAACCCTTTGTAGTTCTACAGCAGAGCAGTGATCAAACAGATCTGTTCCTGTCATAAAACAAGCTGCTATATATGCATTATTTTACAGGGATTTCTTTCCTACTAAGTAAGCTCAAATTATTATAATTTTTTTACTAATGTAAAGGCTTTTTACTCCTTTTTTGTAAACATACTGTCGCTATAAAATAATTGACTGTTAAGTTTTCTCTCAGACTTAAATTTTGCATATTTCAATATGATGTTTTGCTGATGTTTAAAAATGTTCTTCCTCATTGTTGTTCAGGTTGGTAAAAAGGCATGAGACGCACCTCTCAGTGCTGGCGTTAAGTAACATGGAGGTCTCCACCACGCTCGCCAAATGCCTTTACGAACTCAAGCGCTCGCTTCAGGCTTAACGCCAGAGGGACGACCCCTACCATCCTCTGGTCCCGCTCCTGAGGAGAGAGGAGCGAGGGGCCGGTGAGCAGTAGCTGGTCCATGTGTTGAGGGACGGGGGGAGCAGAGGAGGGGGAACCAGGACAAAGTTCTGCAGCTTCCACCTCCACCCCTAAACGTCCGTTCAATCCCTCACCTTCTTCCTCGGCGACCTGTGTAAAACCCGCTCTCTACCATCACACACAGAAAGAGGGGGGGAGGAAAAAAAAAACTGCCTTTGGGGATCTTCCACCAGCTGCCCACCAGGGGGAGCTCTTTTTGAGACTGCTTCCCTGAGGGACTCCACTGACAAAACCCCAAACATGAGCACATTTAGTTTGAGTAAGTTTTTCCCCCCCTGTTTTTTTTTTTTTTTTTTTTTTTTTTTTTAGTCCATCCCATAAAACAATAGTGTGTTGGAGCTTTGGGTGAAGGGCAGGAACAGGGCGGGGCCTGGAAGGGGCGGGGCTACAAAAGGTTCTCACAGGGTTGGGTGGAAGGAGGACTCAGCGACTGGAGCAGAGAAATTTTTCTTTAGAAACTCGGTAGCTTGGTTTTCTTACTTGAGTCAATATATTTTCACTTATTTATTATCAAAATGAATACCATTACAATGAATAAAAAAAAGAATCTTGTAAATATGTTGTGAATATATATAAAGAAGATCCTTTGATGCCGATGCAGCCACTGGAGAACATGCTCTGTGGGGTAATAGAAGCATTACTTTGACAGGATTTAATAAAGTAGTATGTTTGTTTTTTGTTATCTTGCTTTTTTTTTTTATGATCCTTGGTCACTTGTATCTAATGTGATTCTATACTCAGCAGTGGATGAATGTACTTAAAAACTTGTAAATAATTCTGCAAAGGTACTGATGCTGTAAAGCTAAGGGATGGGGGAAAAAACAGTTTTTTGTGGAACTGTGACATTTTTTGTATTATAATACCTTGTAGAACTCATTTTGCTGGCTGAAAGAGTATGGAATAATATATCTCATGTCATTTTGTAGAAGAAAAAAAAAATATTGAAGGTATTCCCCTCTCCCTATGCCCTCACACACCCCCCTTCTCCCCAAAAACACGTGCACACACACGAGGAGCATATAATCCACTGTAAACGTTTTTTTTTTTTTTTTTCTTTTTGTCATCGTACGGGCATGGGGCGCGTACCAAAAAAATTTTTTTTGTATTTGTAAATTGGTTTAAATACATGGAGTTTTTATACAGGTTTTCTCCTGTGTTCTTTGCTTTACGTGCAGGTATGATATTTTCTTCACTACTTTTTTCTATCTTAATATAGTGTGGAGTTTTATTGTACTATTTTTTCATTCTTACTACCATGCCACATTCCGGCTCACGTCCTCAGACTGTCCTCTCTCTACCGTGTGTTGTGTAACATTTTTGACTGCCTGTCGTATTAGCATCTGACCGGGGCGACCCCAACCATCTTCATTTCTGCGGTGTCAGTAGGATGTGTGACTATACATAGACCTAACAGTCTGTTAGAGATTGGCTTTATTTACTTTGGTGACTGTTTATAGTTTTTAAATAAAACACTGAACATTTTGCCTGGGCTTTACTCTTTGTTTCTGCTTTTCTTTCATCTCAAGAATTATTTAGCTTATTTACAGAACAGGATTTCAGGAAAATCTGAGTTTTTCAGGTGTATAGAGCTGAAAGGTTGTCCCTCCCTTATAGATTAAACATATTTAGAGCTCAAAGAGCCTGATTGAAAGATTCAGTTTTCAAATGAATTCATGCATGAAATGAAAGTAAAAGTTATTTTGGAAATCTTTTTGGAGTAATTCACATTTATATTTAAAAAGGAGTTCTCTAGAACCTTTCCTGTAGTTCGAACATACAGAAACTGATCTTTGAACATTTTGGAATCTTACAGGATCTGTTATTAAAGGGAAACCGGAAGCTTTAATTTTTAATTAGAGTGATGCTATGCTATTGCAGTAAGGACCTGATTGTGGCAGCCTAGTGGTCAGGGTATAGAGCTTGAAATCCTGTTCTAAGTTCAAAATCAACTCTCATTCACTGCCATTCTGGGCCCCTGAGCAAGACCCTTTACCCCTTATTGCTCCCTGAGCGCCCCAATATGGCAGCCCACTGCTCCCCAAGGGGCAGGGTTAAATACAGAGGTAAATTTCTCTAATGTGAGATCAGTAAAGTTCAGTAAAAAAAAAAAAGATCAATCATTGCCAAGACTTGCTAAGTCTGCATAAAGCTAAACAAAATAAATTCCCCCAGAGCACATGCAGGAAAAGGGCAAAGACGTGTGATAGGAATCTTTTCTCCTCCAACTAAAACATTGTAACACAAATTGCAAATTAATAAGGCAATTTGAAATTAAATAAATCATCTGCATAGAAGGTAACTTTGTTTATTGATCTGTCTAAATATCCTGAGAATGCTCCTGTATGTAGAGAGATTTCCAAGTCCTTACTTTATTTATGGTGGCCCATGGTCTTTCAGCTTGGTTGTTTTTGAGCACAAACGAAAGCGAATGGATAAACCATGTACTGTAATACTCCGTGCTTCCAATAGGGGGCGCCAGAAGCGCAACTTTTGCAGCTAGACTGCTTGACATGTGGCTGTGGCTTTCTGAAATCTATGCCTCAATTTTAGCTAAAGATTGTTCTCAGATACCCTCATTCAGTCAAACAACAGAACGGATTGGACGCTAACACTGCTTCACCGAGTAAAATTAAACCTGAACTCCATTTAAAGGTGAGTAACGACCATTTACACAAGCTAACTGGAGCTAGCCGGAGCTAGCAGCTCGGAAGCTACAGGCGACGTAAGCAGGTGCTGTTGTTGAAAGCCGCTAGCTTCTAGCTAAATATGCCTCCTATCCCATTTAGCTACCTAGCTAGCTAGCTTCTGACCTTCATTGCAGCCCATTTCGCTAATGATAAACATTATTCAGACGCTCTAGTAGCAATAGTAGTGATTCGGAGATAGCTTTTCGAAGCTTCTGGTTGTAGCTAGCTGCTGCTATCAATAACAACCATGTTGTTACCGTCGTGTTGGCACAAGTTGGTGCTAATTTAGTGTCTCCAGTCAGGAGGCCTTACGCATAAAAACAGCTTTTAAGAAGCGAACTCCAACGCTTTAGCTCGTGATAAACACATTTGGATTTGTTTCAGAATTTAAAGATAGTTTTTTAATGGAAAGTTGAGCTGACAACCGGAAAAAGCTCCGGTGTTTGTGTGTTGACATGATTTCTGCTGAGGCGGTTAGAAAATGTCTTTAGGCCAGAGTCTGTCAGCCTAGTTTAAAACTCTTTCACTTGTTTTTCTTTTAAATTGTCTTATTAAACCTAATCTAATTGGATCCAATGGGTTAGACTCGGGTTTTCTACTCTTTTGTAGTAAAGCTTAATGTTTGTTTACTATGACTCAAACTTTGGCAAGTTGAATTTCTTTTCTTTTTTCTTCTATTTTATGTATATATTTTTGAAATCCGTTCCCAGGTAGAGGGATTATATGCTATCTGCCCATGTCAACTTTCAAATCATTCATTAGCAATGTAAAAACGAGGATTGTCAGCGCTTTGGCAGATCCTTATTCAAAAAAAGCTCCATGTTTCATGGCTGAAGCTCTACAGTCCTAAATGTCAAAGCTTTCAACTCATATTGAAAAAAAATTTAGAGCAATAGGATATTTAAAAATATATATATAAATCAAAATGATGAACTTTTATTAAGAGGAATTAGATTAACCTCTTTTTATCATTACCACAGCTGCTATCTAGTGAGGATACATAGAGTATATAAATAGTGAGTTTTACTCTTAAGTCGTCCTCTAACCAGACCACAGATTCTATAGAACATCCACATTCCAGGCCACTATTTATGGCATTATATAAACATATATATATCTTTCCAGATTTATTAGTTTTTCTGCCGTTTAGTCTTTGTTAAAGGTTTCAAATCGTCCAATAAGTTGAAATATTACATGAGAAAAGACTAGGACATGACACTGTCTCCACTGTGTTTCAATGCTGTTGTTTTTTTGTAGCAGTTGTTTTGACTCTTGATCTCCTCTGTAGTTGCAGTAATCCAGTCTCGGACCTGTGCAGCTAATTGGAAAACAGATTTTAATCAAGAACTTGGTTCTTGTTTCAATTCTGCATTGTGATCCAGGCAGGGGTCCAGTAGCTTGATAGGTTGTTGGCTGCAGTCTGATTGTTCTTGTTTTTATCATTAGCTGCTATAACCATGCTACTTTTTACAACTTATTGATCTAACTGTCTGTCCCTGGATGTTAATCTTTCATCAAACTCTGGTTGCAGTGGAAAAGAACAAAACGCAACTAAATGCAGGAACCTTAGATGGATGTTAAGATATGAAACCGTCATGTAGCAACAGATGGGTCATATGCTAACATTAGCGTGTGCCTGTTGGCATCTTTAGTACCTTACTGTAGTTAGTGGAGCATCGTCTGGTTTGTAGTTTCACTTTGTTTTTTATGAAATTTTTCTTGCTATTCTTGTTATTTGTTTGCTTTGTAGGTGAAACAATTTGGAGCGATGCTGTTGTCTGTTTGACCAAAATTAGCCAAAACACTTTTCTCTAAACCTATTCATCCATTTCGACGACAAGGATCCATTGAAAAAACACTCTGCATTTTTTGGTTACAAAAAAAATCTACATAGTGTTTTAACCAAACATTGTAATTTCCCTGCCACGCCACTAGGAGGTGGTATGTTCTTTGAAACTGAAAATCTGGACGTGCAAACACTCCCTGCTAATGCAAAGCCACAACAAATTGCTGGTTTGTTCTGATCCATCTACATTCTGCGTGAAAATGAGGTGCTTATGTACTGATATTATGCTTTGTACATCTGGCTAACTCTAGGGGGCAGCGTAGAGCACCGACTATAAGCTTACAACATTAACAGTTTTTCACAATCTCTTGATTTTTGTCAGCATTTATGCAGGATTCCCGCGGGTCATTTAAAAATTATAAAAAATCATTACATTATTATTTCTTAAATTAAGGCCCTTATAGGCAATAAAATTTATTAAATGTTAGCATTGTGACATTTAAAATGCTTTATTTAAAAAAATCGTTTCTAAAAACAATTTCATCAGATATAGGGCTGGGTAAAAAAAATCGATTAATCGATTTTGAATCGATTCCTTTACATTTTTGCAAAATCGATGTCTAGCGAATGAGATCGATTACTTTTATAGTGACGTGGGTGACGTTCACATTTAAATGAGCAGGAAAGATGCACCCATAATACTTCAAGCCAGACAGCTGCAAATATAGCTAATAGGTTGACTGAAGACATTAACAAATGGAGGCTGACCAGCAAACACCCTGTAGTTGTTACAGACAACGCTGCATATATGGTTTGTGCAGTGGAGATAATGCAGCTCATGCATGTCTGCTGTGTCACGTCTGCTTGCTCATGTGAGGCTTTTTCACTTTTCACAAACAAGTTGGCACTTTTGAGATTGTTTTGTTCACATTTCATGTTTAAACTGTCCGACTACAAGTTTGCACTTTGCGTTTAATATGATAGGAAAAAATATAATACATGAGTGTTTTGAAACACAGTTGAACCACTTTCATTATTGTAAAAACAAATCGAATTGAAATTAAGGTATTTAAAACTGTATGAATCAAAATTGAATCGATTCAGGACTTTGGCCAAAATACCCAGCCCTAATCGGATATGTTATATTGCGATATATTTACGTGGAACTGCTTCCCGTTGATCGAAAGCCGTATGTTCGGAAATGAAGCTGGAGGCGGAGAAACAGCTAGAGAATGGGGAAAATTCTAATTCCAACAAAAGTTGCTGGAAAAGGAGGAATTCGGGACATGGCTGCAGCCTGTCGACGGTAAAGATGACAAAGGATTTTGCATCTTTATATATATATATATATATATATATATATATATATATATATGAGTCATGGGTAGGGTTGTCACGATACTAAACTTTTCAACTCTATACCTATACTAAGGAAAATATTCGATACTCGATACCATTTTCGATTAGCCTGACGTAGTCCGACTCAATTCTAGTTAGAATATGAGTCTGATACTGCTCCATAGAGCTGTAATTATGGGGCGTGTTTTGAACGAACCAGGAAAAAAATGCCTCTGCACTCAATTGGATAGACCTACAACCAATAAGAGCAACGGAGTGCGTGACGTATGTTAAGCGAGGCACAGTTGTTGTCCACAAAAATCAAAGCGTGCAGTTTCACGCCTAGAATAAGAAGATGAGCCTTGATCGCGTTTCTCTGTTCCTCTTTTAAAATTAATTTGCTGTCGATATCTTCTAGAACAGACCTAATAGCAGAATCTACTCACCCAAACTCTCCAGCGGCAGCCATTGTTGTTGTCACCCAAGCGCGCTTTGGTCACGTGGTTGATAACGTTACTCTTGATCATCTGTCCATCATCGTATAAAGCCCGCCCTGAGAATTTGATTGGATCGCCTGACAGTGGGCTTTAATACTCGCGCTACTATGGAGCAGAGCCAGACCGAACTTCCCCGAACTCAAACCTTGTGGGCGGGACTAAGTTCGGACTGGCACCCAGGC